GGCAATGCGACTCAGATCCTCTGGAAGAGCACTGTGTGAGTACCTGCTCTTACGTGCTGAGCCATCTCTTCAGTCCCTCATCTATCTAACGGGATTAAAAGGATGCTAATACTTTCCAGTCACATACAATTTCATTAGCTGTCTCTTGAGAATGACTGAGATTATTGTCCCCAGTTAAAAGCTAGGGGTATTGAGATTTAGAAGGGTTAGATTACTCAGGTAATCAGGCGTAGACTTTAAGTTTCAACTATATTCTATTTGTCATGCTATAGTCAAGACTGTCAATATCAGATCTCACTGGAATTCACAACTGATTTCTATGAGTCTATTTTTAAAATGTTATATAACGTAGACGTCAGGGATCAGTATTGTATGCGACCCATTACAGTCTGGTAGCTATACACCATATCATCCAATGCTTTAGTCCTTCAAACAACAAATGAATAAACACTTCCTTATATGCCAGGATTGTACTAGACTCTACTATACCCAGATCTTATGTGCCTATTGTTGTGTAACAAGTCATCCCGATTTAGTGATATAGGCACTGATTCAAACACAGATTATCCTTTTTTCAGTGGGGCAGGAATTTGGTAGCAATTTAGTTGAGTGATTTTTGCTCAAAGTCCCTCTGATGGCTGCAGTTAAGATGCAGGCTAGGAATGAGTCCAGTCATCTGAGGATTAACTGGGGCCAGCAGATCTGCTTTTGAGATTATCTGCATGCTTGTTGACTGGAAGCCTTAATTATTTACTGAGTAAAGTTGCCACAGAAGTTTTGTAACTATGATGCGACAGTTTCTTTCCCTAGCAAGTGATTCAAGAAAGGGAAGAAGAAGAAAGCTGGAATATCTGGCATAAACTCCTCAGAGTAGTCTCTTCAGGCACTAAGTACGACTGTGAAAGGAGCATTATAGAATTTGAGGCTATATTTTACAATTGCCCTTTCAGTGGCTATAAGTAACTTAAAATGTTAACGTACATACTATGAAAAATGTGTTAATCTATTTATTTGGTTTGTGTGTGTGTATGTTTTGACTTTTTAGAGACCCACCTGCCTTTGCCTCCTGAGTGTGCCCTCATATCAGGCCAGGTTAGAATATTTAATATTGGGGTAGAATAAAAGTAAAGGTGTAGAGAAGAGAAAGTCTTACTGTTGTTTGCCTACATTGTATGTCTCTATTTTTATCTCACAATTCTGTGCTAACGTTTCTGTATAGTGACGAATGAATGACAACCTATCTTATTAGATCAATTAGGAATTGCATTCAATGTTTATAACACAAATGCAATTTTAAAAACCTATAATAGGAGAGACTTGTTTTTCTTTGTGTAAAAACAGTCCACAAGGACGCAGATCAGACCTGGAAAGGTGGCTCCCCAAAGCAAGCATGAACCTCCTGCCTTCTTCCATTCCGCACATTCATCATAGTGCATGTAGCTTTTATTAATTACAGTGGAAAGATGGTTGACTTACTTTTCTTGTTACCGTAACATAACACATGATGTGAATAACATGAAGAAGGAAATACCACTTTGCTTTATGACTTTAGAGAGTTCCGTCCATGCCTGCCTGGCCCATGTGCTTTACAGCAGGAGAGTACATTAGTGAACAGTCTTCATTTTTGGACTATGAAAAATAAAGAGCAGAGGGAAGGGTCAGGGAGAGTCACATCATCCAAAGACACCCCGTGCCCTATTTCCTCCAAAGATTCTACTGCCTACTTTTCACTTCCACACTGCGATGCCCTAATATTATGAATTCACTAAGGAATCAGAAACATCAGTATCTAATTGCCTGAGGAAATTACTTCAAATATGCACCCGGGAGTGTGCTCCAGTAATCTCCTAGGTGTTCCTTAATCCAATCATGTTAATCATCAAAATTACCATCACAACATCCCTGTTGTGAGAAAGTGTAGGACAGATTGTCGAAAGGACATTGCTTCCATGAAACTTTTCTGATGCTCTAGAGACAGTGGCTTTCACTGATGAACACATTGCCAGCCATAATTTATAAGCATCTGCGGAAGTAAACAAATTCAGCTGGATACATTGGCACCCTGCAAACAATCATGCCTCTGCGAGAAAGGTAAAAAGGATATTGTTTAGATAATATCTGTCTTCTTATTCCAAGGAGCTTTGATGCAAGAGTCTGCTCACAAGAGCTTTGATATACTTTTGTGAGACATTAAATACCAGACAGACAACAATACTGGCTGGGATTTAACTATGTTTTAAATGAGGGAGTCCAGTCAGTTTTGAGATTCAGATATGAAGTATATTTTCAAGAGTAGTCATCTTTTCTAGTGAATAATACTGAAAAATTAGCTGCTGCTGTGAGTGTTATTTCTAGGGATACTTCTAAGGAGATAACTGCATGGTTGTACAAAGGGAAATTCATCAAAAGTTGTTTAGAACAGCAAGGACTTCGGATATAACATTGTGTGAGAAAAGAATTATGTGTCCCAGATGCAATTTCTGAGCTAGTATGTGCTTTTGTGGGTTTTTCTTTTCTTTTTAGTTTTAAAGAAATATCAAAAAGAATATCAGACAGAATTTTAAACATTACTATCTCTAGGCTATAAGATTTTTCACAATTTATCTGCATTTTTATCTGAATTAGTTTACATGTTTTGAATCTGTTTGATGTGCATGCATGGTTTTTATAAAACAATAGCTCTTTTAAAAAAAAACTAAGGAACAGAGTAGTCATTTGATCAATATTGTGTCTATTTACATTCCTTTTTGCCTGTAATTTTGCTATATATGACTATGACTGAACTTAGAACTTATCCTTGGGAGGGTTCTGATCTTTGCTAAAATGATATCATTCTTTAGTTATTATAACTTTCAATAGAATTAGGGACACGTAAAATCCTGTTGTATATTTAGAACACTTTGACTTCCAGGTGATTCCCTTCCCCATGTATGACTTGTAAAATGATGTTGTGGAAAACTGTTAAGGGAATGTTAAGGCTGAGAAGGAGTAAGCAAAGAGAGGGATAGAGCTAAGGATGTCTGGGAGAGAGATTAGAGGGTCATAGACCAGAGAAAGTGCATTTACATGGGTATCAAGACACCCACCCTGCCCTTCTCTTCTGGCCTGGGATTATCAGTTTATCTCTCTGCCCTCAATTTTCTCATCTGAAAAAGAGACTTTTGGATTAAAATCACTAACTTTGCTTCAAGTCTTAAACATACTTTGAAAGATTTTGGGGGAAGGGGCATTATTGGTGCTGTCTATGTCCTAGAAATGGTACTAAAGCTGAATCCAAGTAAATTAAAGGCAAATTAACAGCAATAGCTAACATACACTGTTTATTATGCCTTTCAAACATATTGTTCAGTAACTTCCTAAAATTACACAATGAATGGGCCTAGATCCCAGCCTGCTATTGTCTGAATGTGGCTTGTCCTTTCTGAGACTCAAGTTTAAATTTAATCCCCATTATTAAACATTAGAAGGTGAGGCTAAGTAAATATATTGATTAGGACTCTGCCCTTAGGAATGGTTCAATTCATTCATGTGACTAATGGGTCAATGAATAAATGGGTTATCCATTTTGGCTAGGTCTCTTTTAAGCTTTCTGTTTCCTGCCACGATATCCTGCTGATTCAGTTCAGGACTTGAAAAACAAACATGTCACCACATGAAGCTCCTTGATCTTTGTCTACAATCAGCCAAAATATACCTGTTCTCTATAACTTAGCATCGTTAGTATTAGAGGCAGCAAATGGACTCAGATATAGTTTAGTGTCTTATTTTAAAAAATCCTCAGCTGTGTTGTGGTATGCTCAGAACCGCCTAAATTGAGCTTTTATCAAGCAGGGCTCACACAGCCATTCTATCCCGGACCCTGACCTTGTCTATATTGGTTAAGGCCAGCAAGGTCTCTAGATCTTACTTCCACACCCTGCTGCCTCAACAGGTGGCAGCCCACTTCCTTTGTCGCAAAGACAGCTTCCTGGTTCACAGCACCTTTGTCAAAGAAGGGCAGGTGAGTTTTTGCAAAGCTCTAAGTACTTGCCCATTGCAGGACAGATGTAAAGCGCCACACAGGCGTCCTCTCAAGAGGCTCTCCGGTAGCATTACTCGGGGTCTCTCTGTTCTTTTGGGGAACACATCTGGTTACACAGCCCACTTCTGCATACTTCCTTATGCCACATTTCTTAAGGACAGAGAGGTGCTGTGAGAGGACACGAGGGAAAAAGAATGAGGGGGCTAAGATTGGGTTGGAAGTCAGAAGAGAGCTCGGGTTTGTTCCGTAGGTGACAGCTCTCAAGGCCCTCTACTCCCAGAGAGGATAAGCCAGCGCCAGATCCTTCACCCAACCCCACTAGAACTAGGGGCTGAAACTAAACCCTCGCCTCTAGGAAGCCGGGACTTCCCAGCCCCCTTCGCAGGAGGGCGGGGCGAACGCCGAACGGCCAATCCCCGCGTCCGCACGTCGCCGTGTCCACGCCCACGCCGCCCGGGCCCCGCCCTCCCCTGGGGCTCGTGCGGCGGCCGCGACGTCAGCTGCCCCAGACCCCTGGGTGGTGACTGCGCCGTGGGCGGGCCGCGGTCGGGCCGCGCGGCGAGGAGGGGGGGCGGAGCGAACGGCGGGAGCGAGCGGCGGGAGCGCGCGCCGGGCCCGCCTCGGCCGCCGCCGCCGGGGGATGATCTGGGCGGCCGCGGGCGGCCCTGGCTAGCGGCCCCTGCCCGTGCTGCGGCGGGCCAGGGCGGCGAAGGTCGAGGGTCGTGGGTCGTCCTCCTCCCCGCCTCCGGGAGGGGCGAGAGGGAGCCGCGGCTGATGTCAGGTACGGCGGGCGGAGGCGCCCGAGGGCTGCGGGTCCCCGGGCTCGGCTGCCCGACGCTGGGCGACTGAGGGGACCGGAGCGCCGCCAAACAGGTGTCTGGGGGCGGCGGGCGAGCGGCCGCCCTTGCGCTCCCCTCTGCCCGGCGGCTCCGGCGGGAGGCGCCCGGGGCGGGCCAGCGCCTAGCGGTCCTGCCCGCCGCCCCGCCCCGGCCTCCGCGCGCCCAGCGGCCGCCAGCCCTGCACTCAGGTGCGAGCACCTTCCGGCCACTCGGGTCCCGAGTGCCTGCTTGCCGCGGGCTGGACCCCAGCTTTGTCTGTCGCTGCTTTCTTAAGGCTGGAAGTTTTCCTTGCGGCTGACTGAGTGAACTAGCCAGGTGTGTTGGGGGCTTGCTGCGCGCACGAGGATTTAAATTTTTTTTCTCCCTCCCCTCTGGAGGAAAAAGTGTGATGGGATTTCTAGATGCTGGCTAGTTAAACTGCTCTGAATTTGAATACTCTCATAGATTGACTGAATCAGGAATGAGAATGGGGGATTAAAAAAAATTCCCCTTTCAGTATTTAAAAACAAGCGGCGGAAGCATTCTTTTAAGGTCCCTTACATTTTGGAAAAAAATTGTTTTCTAGTCGGGTTCTTTTTATTCATTGTAGATGCTACCATGTTGCCTTTTAGTACATAACGACCAAAAACGTATTCTGAATTAGAAAGTTACAAAGTTAGAACTTTTATGCATCAGACCGAGTAATTAGGCAAAGTGTAAAGGACAGAAATATGGTGATTTACTGGCAGTTGAGCATAGACCATAGATAGCTCTGCCTGGATGCCAAGAAAAAGTGCTGTGCACACTACAAGTTGTTTGATTCTGAGTTTTTAGAAGGTATTTAGTTTTCCAGTCTCTTAGCAGAGAAATCAGATGAGCCGTATGCACATGATATTGTGTATTCTCAGCATTGTATATCATCAATTTTATTTTCTGCCAGCCGCACTATATATTTTTGTACAGTTTAAATGAATATGAAGTTTCAAGTTACCAAACAGTTAACTCTTTTTCACCATATGTTAAGTAAAACAGTGATTTAGGAAGGCAAGTATGACTCACTTAAAATTCAGGACTAGTGGAGAACTATTCAGTGTCTCAGATTTGCCTGAAATTTATGTTTTCCTGTATGTTTTTACTGAGGACTCAGCATTTTACAAATACTTTGTGGTTACTGTCCAGTTAAAAGATTTTTTTTAGTTGATGTTTTTAAAAATATCATCCTAACCTATAATTGGGAATAAATTCAATGTGAAGCAAATTGTAGACTTTTATAAGCAATTTACTAAAGAGTACATATAATGAGTTAATGTTTGGCTAATAGTGTGCTAAACACTGTGCATGTGTTGGCTGTATACTGCTTGTATGTTGATGTTGCTGAGATGAAAATTGAGTTATGCAGCTTGACATTGTAATCCACGGTAATATAAAGTCAAGTCTTTTGTGGTGAAATTATTGGTTGGAATTTTCTTGTGACAGTGTATTTATAAATAAAATGTAAATAGAAATTGTTACCTTAATGCTGCTATTTAGGTTTTACACTCAAAAGTCAGGGTTTTTCAGCACAATGTTTCAAAAAGATTTTTCTGAAATTTTAGTAAAACAGCTAGTTGAAAATCTTATCAAGGTTAAAAGATACACGTTTTTAATACCAAATCTGGTGGGATTAAGGTATTTTTAAAATTTTAAATTTAAATTAACCTGTAAGATGAGATCAATATACATATGCCATTATATTTTGCTTTTATTCTTTTAAATGAAGAAAGAAAGAAAAAAAAGCTTGCTCCATAAAATGTGAAGTTAACATTTTATCTATGAATCTGGTAAGAAACAAATGTCAAAGAATACTTAAGTTTTTGCACCTAACTTAACCCCCCCCCGGGGGGGGGGGGATAGTCAGGTACATGCCAGTATCTGTTATGTGTGAAAACAGAAAGCTGTTCTCTGTGAACCAGGGAATCCCATTAGAAGGTGGGAGATCCAAGAAGAAACTTGAAACAATTTACCTTGCACCTGCGGTATGAAGTGTATTGAGGGCCCAGGGAGACATGTTGGGAGATTGTGAATTTGGAACCCTGATTATTTTATAATGAAAGCTGAATGCTGAAGCACATTTTAACTATAGAATTGAAATGATATCCAGCTCCATGTAGTCATTTGCATTCTTGTTTGCTGTATTAGTTTTCTGAGGCTACCAAAACAAAGGTCTACAAACTGGACCATTTAAGAGCCCTCAAGGCTGTACTGTAGAGTTTCTAGAGAACCTGCTGTGTTTCTCTAAGCTTTTCTGTCTTAGGTTCCGTGGCTCTGCAGTATTACTTATAAAAATGGGGCCCCTAGGCTCATAGCAGCAAGCTTATAGGCTCTTGTTAGAAATGTGAGTTTTCGAACTGCAGATCTCTTGATTTGGAAGCTTGTGACTAGCTTTCCAGACAGGCTAACTGAGACGCCTTGTTTCTAGATAGTAAACAGGGTAAGTGAAAGACATTGAAGGTGTGTCTGGGGGAGACCCCTGTTGAAGTGAAGAGCTCAAGTAGCTGAAGAATGAATCACAGGAATGTCAGAGAGGACGGTTTACAGCAAGCAGGAAGACCCTGTGTGTTTAACGAACAAAGCAAGGAGTCCAAAGCAAAAATCCACTGGGGAAAACAGCGTGAGGCAGTATTGTATAAAGCTCACTTTAAGGTTTGGGCTTTTTAAAATGAGGTTAGGCAGGTGCTAGAGGCTTGTGAGAAAATGGGTGACAGGATCTGATTGCAGATGATAGGATCACTCTGGCGTGCTAACCAAAAGAGACTGAAGAAAGAAGGGGACCAGGAGACTACTGGCTGAAAGGCTGTTGCTCTTCTACGTGGGTTCTGGCGGACTGAACCCAGGCCTTCACTTAGCCCTTCAGCTTCCTAGTGGAGTGGTTCTTGACTGAAGCTGATTTACTCCTTCAAGAGAACGCTGGCTCTTGTCTAGATAGGTTTTTGGTTGCCACTACTAGGAGAAGTGCTCCTGCCATCTAGTAAACAAAGAAGGAGAAACTTCTAAACGCCTTATGAATTAATAGGACAACCCTACAACAGTGCCACTAGCTGACTCACACTGCCACTAGTGCCAAGATGAAGGAAATGTGACTTAAAATCTCTGAGGGGAGAACATAGGGAATGGAGGGAAGAAGGCATTTTAGTCAGATAACATAAGAGAAATAGGCCGGGCGGTGGTGGCGAATGCCTTTAATCCCAGCACTCGGGAGGCAGAGGCAGGTGGATCTCTGTGAGTTCGAGGCCAGCCTGGTCTACAGAGCAAGTTCCAGGACAGGCTCCAAAACAATACAGAGAAACCCTGTCTCAAAAAACCAAAAAAAAAAAAAAAAAAAAAAAAAAAGAGAGAGAGAGAGAGAGAAATAGTGGAGCTGACCTCATTGGGATGGTTAATAGTCAAGATTATTTACAATCTTTTTTTTTTTTTTCCCGAGGCAGGGTTTCTCTGTGAAACAGTTCTGGCGATAGTCAAGATTATTGACTGGATTAGTGAAATGGTGAAGTTGGATATATGGACAGAATCACCAAGCAGAGGTTTATATGTCATGTTAATTAAAGATGGTTCATTTTTCACTTGTAGGCTGTAGAATCCTGTGAGGGTTAGTGGAGTGGCTTGGCCACTTGGAGTTAGAGGCCATTTTGATAGAACAGGGAAGAGTTGAAGATGAGTGGGACACATGGGGGGAGACAGGTTCCATATCTCAGTAGCTTACAGTTGAGAGTGAAATAAGACAGTGGATAAGGAGAAGAGATGGTTCGAAAAATTAGAAAATAAAATTGGCACTCAGATATGGCTGAGAGTGAGTGGACCATTAAGAATGCCTATGTCCGGGGTGTCTGGTGCAGTGTCTGCTTGGCGTGTGTAAAGCCGAGCGTCTGGTCCCCAACGCCCCCTACATACACATACAATTTCTTTTCCTAATTTCTAGTCTCAGTGATCAGACAAATCTGAGTGAAAGAGGAACAGATCGAAAGGATGAAGTCACTCTTGGGCTTGTTGAGTTTGGACTTGTTGCCTGTGGTCAAGGTGGAAGTGTGTGTTTGGGTTCATGTGATTTGGAATCTTAGAGAATTCTGAAAAGGATCAAGAGATGTAATGAGAGTTTTCATTTTTACTCCCTAGATAAACTAGTTTCTTAGTGAGGGTTTCTATTGCTGCCATCAAGCACCACGACCAAAAGGCAAGTTGGGGAGGAGAGGGTTTATTAGGCTTATACTTCAGCATTGCTGTTCATCACCAAAGGAAGTCAGGACAGGAACTGAACAGGGCAGGATCCTGGAGGCCCACAAGATGCAGAAGCCATGGAGGGGTATTGCTTATTGCTTGCTTCCAATGGCTTGCTCAACCCACCTCATAGAACCCAGGGATGGCACCACCCACCATGGGCTGGGCCCTCCCCCACTGATCACTAAATGAGAAAGTGCCCTCCAGCTGGATCTCATGGAGGCACTTTCTCAGCTGAGACTCCTTCCTCTCTGATGACTCCAAATTGTATCAAGTTGACCCACCCAGTACAACTACCTTTATTTAATTTTTGTCAGAAAAGGAAAATCTATTTTTTGTTTTCCATATGTAGAAATGTGTGTAGAAATAGTTAATGTGCGTGTGCACACATTATTTTAAATAGCACAATGAAATTGTGCTATGTTGGCTTCAGTACTTTAAAACAAATAAGCCTTATACAATTAAAACAAGTGAGATTATATCAGGGGTAATGTTAGAGTGGAGAGTAGCAGATCTCTCTCTTTTTGGTTTTTTGAGACAAGGTTTCTCTGTAACTTTGGAGGCTGTCCTGGAACTAGCTCTGTAGACCAGGCTGTCTGGAACTCACAGAGATCCACCTGCCTCTGCCTCCTGAGTGCTGGGATTAAAGGTGTGCACCACCACCGCCCGGCTGATTAGCAGATCTCTCTAATGTAAATTCCAGTGTTGCTCTAGGGTGAGGTTAAGGGACTAGGAGTTACAGACATTCCTTTGTGTTAGTTTTGTCTTTTCTGAAACCAGGCCTTGTAGGGCTGGACAGTCTTGAACTTCTAGTCTTTCCACCTCTGCCTTCCAAATGCTGGGACTACAGGTGTGAACCACCACTTGCTGCTCCTTTGTCAGGGGTGGGAGGGGTAGTAGGAGGGCGAGGTTTCACCCACACTTGAGGGGAGAGCCAGGTTGGGAGTTAGTAGTAAAACCCAATGCTCTTTTGTATATCTTCCTCTCCCTCTGTCCTTTGACATCCCTCCTTCATTCTCTCTTTTGTTTATTTTCACACTCTACTCTTACAAAGCATAATTATAAATGTTAGCCACAGGCACAAG